ATTTGGAGGGAATGGTGAACAGACAGTCATGTATGTATGAATTTTATCAAATTATAGCCACTACCTAAAAAAAAAAAAAACACATCCGCTTTCAGATCAGGAAATGTATTATTTGACACGCCTATTGTTTGAATGCGGCATGTACAATTTGACACAAACTTGGAGGAAATGAGGAGAATAATTCAGAAATTGTTTAGTATCAATTCCATTCAATAATTAAAATTAATATTAATAACTGTTATCAATATGATAGCTGTGAAATATAGAGGATATTGTTCAGGTGAAGTCGGAGTTAGGTTACTACAATATTATTATGGGGTTATAAAATTTTTGGTTTTATTCAAAAAGTTAATTTATAAAGTATTGTTTGTTCGATTCCAAACATTACTGACACGAGAGTCAGGAAGCTATTCTGACCTTACTTGGCAGAGATTTTTAATGTGGTTCATGTTCTGTTTTCGACCATTACAATGTATATATGTATATTATAACCTTGTTTTCTGTCCATGTTTAGTTATTTTCATTCTTTGGTTTAAATATATATATATAAAAAAAAATGAAATTACTGTAATTTTTAATCCCTCCATAAGTTCATTTTGATTTAAAAACTTTTTGTAGGAACATCAGTATTTTTCAATAATGACAGATTACTAATCAAGTAATTAGTAAGTTCAGCATATTTAGGGATTAACTACTTTATTTTTCATATTTTTTTTGCTGCATATTTCAGGGTTTTTACTGCATATTATATGGTAAATTCTGTGGGTTTTTACAGCATAAAAATCCGGGCCTTGGTTATAATGTATTATAAATTACAATAACCAAAAGATGCCTCCAATAAAGTAGACCAAGTAAATGTTTGTTATGATAAGGGAAATCAGATACCTTTTTTAGGGGGCCCTTTAAAACTCTTAAATACGGGTTGTTTGTTGTCCTGAGGAGTAATGAATTCTTAAGTAATGGTAGGAAAAAAACGAGTTTTAAAGGGCCCTGAAAAGGAATTGCCCCTGAAAGTATCTTTTAGTTATTGTAATTTATGATACATTATAATTCACTTAATGCAACAGTTAATATTTTTTTCTTTATTTTACAAATTAAAAAAAAAAAGATTGATATATAGTAACTAAAAATCCAGGCAAAGCAATACATTTTGTTTGAAATTATATAAAATATTTTTTTCTCGGCTCCTAGAGCCCATTGGAAAGAACGTCCGAATACTTGTATAATATTTTTCGATGTAGTATTACCAAAAAAAAGTTGGTTGAAATTGGTGACCTAGAGACTCAATCCTCTCCTTGTTACATCCATAACTAAGCTGAACGAAAAGTCTAAGTACCAAGATCATGAAGTGTAGACCTTGACAAAGAGTTTAACAACTTCAAGGTGTATGTAGATATATTTATCTAATGAGGTAAACGAACCTTAAATCCTTTAAATACAATTTATTTACATTAGCTAGTAGGAGTGATAATGTTTCCATCCAAACCCTAATTCATATTTACATAGCGCTTTTTTTTTTTGTTTCTTTTAATCATCTCTTGGATTTTCATGTAAATATTTGTTCACAAATAATTATACTATGACAGCCTTTTTTTTTTCTACGACTGTAAACATTTTGGTGAAATGAATTACTTTATGTTATTTTACTCTTTAGTAATGATACGCTATTCATTGGTTGCTGATCGAAGGATGGAACAACATTAAAGATGTCGAACGTGCTTATTTCTAATCAATATTTTGAAATATTAAAAAAAAAAACTCTCTAGCACTACAACCCATGAAGGGTCTTGGGTTCAGTACTATTAAGAGGAAGTACTGTTTCAAGGCTAACGTTTGTGCATGGAGGTGATCACGCTCAACCGCCAGATTTTCTCCCTTAATTAATTATATAGTATGGATGAGCTACTATTTATCACTATTACCATTGTCCTTGAATGTGAATATTTCAATAAAGAAATATCCTAAAAAAAATAAATAAATAAATTATATAATTAAGGTACCCACTTTGTAGAGGCTGGATGTGCCCCAGGAGGGTCTCCCTACCCCTGGATCGCTCCACGGCCAATGAAACAGAATAAATAAATTTTCTGGCATGAGCCGGGATTCGAACCGACCTTGGGCATTGGAAGCTAAGTGTTCTACCACTGAGCTACCCCGATCCCCAATTTTTTAAATATATATATTGCATCCAACATTTGTCTAATACATTTCTTTATTGGTAGGCTAAAATTAATTATTTTAATACGTTTTGTAACTTTGTTTTATTTCTTACAAGTGTTGAGAACATTGGCCAGCGTCCCGGGGCAATTGTTTACACACACTGTATTCTGCCATAAATGATACATCACCAAAAATTTCAATGAGAAAAAAATTACACTGAAGTATCAGCATAGCTTCTATCATATTTTCATTTGGTTTCACGATTACATAACTTCAAGGTCTGTAATTAATTGTTCGAGAATAAAATATGTGCGAGTTGCCGTTTTTGAAGTAGTATCTTATCCGGGAAAAACGCACACAACTAACAGCGAAACAGGTTGTACTTTGATAAAACTAAATTTGATATTGAACAATCTAGTTATCAACCATTACAATTCCCGAACATCTTATTAAATTCAGTGAATGGTAGTAGATAGTGTCCGTCACATGCATTCGACAACAGAAAAATACACAATCTAAGAACTTATATAACTTTATACTACCGTATGTTGGTTAGATATTTCGATTTCTCAAACGCAAAATATCTAAGTCATCCGATTCCGATCAATAAAATACTTGTAATAGTACATAAAATACTTTTGGCGTCTATTTGTGAAAGTAGGAGATTGAATTTGACATTATCGATATCGGACCATCGTATAAATTATCAACCATCACAATCCCTTAAAAATATCTGGGAAATCGTCTGAAGGATAACAGCTGTTATGACCGTTGCTTGTATTTTTCTTCCTTGGTATCTAAAACGTAAAACACGAGCGTAAAATTTCGATTTTGAGGACAACAAATATTTTAAACCCCTTTACGAATACAAAGCTTCTCTACCTTCGGCAATGAGAAAGCAAAATTAAAATTAAACATTTCAAATTGGAGTTGATTGGTTTTAGAATTCTACACCTCACTTCAAGAAATAAACTGCGTGGTCCCGTTCTTTTTTCTTTCTCTAATGCCCTACCTTAATGACGGCCATTTTGAAGGAATTTTGGGATGGGCTAATTGCTGCGCTTTTTTAGGTCAGTGGATATATATTTTTCTTCAGCGACATATTCAGTTGCATTTAATTGCAAAAAGAAGCTGAGTGTTGTTTTATGAAACTAAAGCATTTCTCTTTGACGTCCATCATAAAAATTACCAATTGTGGATACAGGTAAATGGAAAGTGGACCTCACGTGATCATAATTATCCCAGCGTAATCAAGTTGGTAATGAAATATCTTGTTATTGCGGCAATAAATCAGCCGCTGACGAGAATCAAGATAACGTCTATCTGGCTAGGAGAGTCTTCATGTCTCTCTTATCTCGCCGCTCTGAGTCATCTAGTAGTGTTACGTGTTCTTATCCCGGACTTACGTAATCGATAAGCGGAAGTAGATACTCTTTAATGTTGATCAAGTAAGTAAATCATTAGATTACAATTAAACTCGTTTTAATTTCTACTTCTACGACCGTTCACTACAATATATTTTTTTGATTTAAGGCTTCAACCAATAGGATCATTATGTACAATATCTTAACATCGTGTTACAGAAAGGCTACGTTTTAACAACTGTTTTAGGTCATGAAACACATTCAGAATTTCTAAAATTCAGATTACTATCATTAGTGTTGCCCAAAATCGGTCTTGGTCTTGCCCTATACCAGATCACCTAATTGTTGCAAGACCAATACCAAGTCAAGAAAAAAAAAAAAGCATTTTTGTGAATAAAAATTAAGCCTTAATTGTAGACTGACTTATACTAGATTGATACTATATCTAGAGATTTGTAGAACCAAAAAACTTTTGCATTTAACTCTTCCAATTTTTCATTCGGTGTTTAGTTAGGTTTCCCCATTCAAAAAAGTGACAGTAATATTTCTATAATATGTAGTGGTAATATTTTTTTTTTTTAAATTTCTACAACTACATATTATAAGGGGGCGGAGTGGCCGAATGGGCTAAAGCGTGTGCACTGCACCTTGAGTTGCCTGGCAACCGGATAAGAGATTTGAGAAGATTTAAAAAAGTATGAGTTCGCATCCCGGTGCCAGAGGGGATAGATATTTAATTCCCCGCCCTCACCCTCCGGCTCAGGAAAATCCCATATAACCAAAAAGGCGAGGTGGGGAAGAACAAAAAAAAAAAAAATAAATAAAATAACTACATATTATAAAACTATAAAAAATAGTCTTAATCGGGCCAGTTTTAGCAACGCTACCGTGAATTGAATTTTATATACTGAATTTCACTTGCCCATTTACATTGCTTTAGTCCATCGAAGTAATGGTACACTAAAGATTTCTCTGATCAGATCAGGAAAATTAGTCTAATTCAATTGTTATTTTTAATGCCTTCAATGTAATGTCAAGTTAATTTTATTAATTTGGTTGGACTTTATCACAATAAAACATCTAAATGTACCTATTCTGTAGCGTTATTCTAAGATCTAACGTAACATGTTTAATAAATTGCAAAAAGCTAATAAGTAACTGCAAGACTCAAGACCAAGTCTTTGTTGTATTTGGACAACACTAACTATCATCGGATCGAAGAAAAAGTGAAACACTATTCTCATGCTATAAACCAAAAATACCATAAATCTGATCATAACTAACTTCCGAATAACTATGAATCAAAGATAGAAAAAAATTGAGAATAAGTTAACTTATTTTATAAGTTATAAGTTAACTATAATTATATAGTTATTATTGATTTATATGTATTTATATGCTATATTCAGTATCAAAAATTAGTTATTGATTTTGTTTTTCTTCTTTTTGTTAAAAATTCTTCTTCTGTATTTCCAGAGCCTGAAGAAGGCCCTCCACCATGTGGACATCCCAACCAAGAAGGCCACCTTCGCCATGGCCTGCTTCTGGGCTCCTGATGCACTCTACGGTTCCACTGTTGGTGTGATCAGGACCAGGGTGGGATACTCAGGCGGTACCAAAGTCAACCCCACCTACAGGGATCTGTAAGTCGACTAGTCATCAATAGATTATCAGTTATAATAAGAAAAAGATTTATATTGTGTAGGAGATATTTAAGAAACCGCTTTTTTTTTAATTTTTTTTTTTATAGTAGATGATGAATTAATAATCTATTAAACAGTATCGTAAACGTTTCAATTGCAAAGACACAAAGTACAAATTAGTCATCATGACCAACAAAGGAGGGATTATCCGTTTTATAATTTAATATTTCGTAATTTTTATTTAAATTATTTAGTCCGTGACCATGGTTCAATTCTTCATCATTAATTTTAAATTTTCCATATTTTATATCACGCATCCTGACTAAAACTAAAAAGCTAAATAAACTGGGTTAATGAATCTCATCCAAACCAATGGAAACTATTGATGCACTATTATTTCGATCTATTTGAGGCACCAATTCCCGTCAATTGCAACTCCCAGAAGCTCCAATTGAGATCTCAATTTCCTAGTTAGGGGTCATTGAATTCATGGCGGTTTCCTTCGCCCTACCTAACTTCTTTACACTACACGCTCCTTGTCTAGTAATGCTTCACAAACCAGATGTTCAAAATTATTTTTGAAATTTCTATCAGTTTTACTGACACAATCAACCTGATTATCAGTCATAGCTTATCATCAATTATGCTCATTATTGTCTTTTTTAGATAGAAAACTCTCCTTTGCTATGACCTATGTGAGTCTTTTCAGTGATACCCCTCAGTTCATGTAGAGAGCACATTCATTGCTTAGAGTTATATCTTATGGTTTAGTTTTTGCATTTCAAATTGCTGTCTTTAAAAGATGAGGTTTCACGTTCACTCGGCACGTGTTAAGCCTTTAGGTAGACATGATAGGTTGAATAATCCACCAATTTCGTCTTCTTGGTATGATATTTGGGCGGACAGTGGTCTGTGAGGAGATCCCATTATAATCTAAATTCCAAAAAAACAATGTTTTTTGAGAAGGGGTAGAAGGGGAGAGGGTAAATAATTAATTTTTGAGTTGCCCTAGCCTCGTCCCTTAAGCCCATTTAGTACTATTGCCGTTGATACTTTCTTGCATTATGATAACAAGTACGGAACAGTCTGAGAGAACTTGTTACAGTTTATGTTTGGCCTAAAATGTATAAAGGAGTTTAGTTAAAGATAAATAAAAAACACACATGTCTGCTGTGGAAAATATTCTGATTTGTTCTATCGCGGTATACCATTCTTTGGATCCCTCAAGTTTCATTTGTACAGTTCTTTTATTTTAACCTAAGAAAGTCCGTACAGTTCGACTGTTGGTGTACCTTTGCTGTCCCGTCTCGGATCGGAAACTGTTTATCGACTTTCCAGTCCTTACTGGCCGTGTTTAGTTGAAACTGGGCCAACTCTTGCAGATTGCGACTCTTATCCTCACACTGTCTTTTTTTAATGTGAAGGGTCTTTTTTAAAATAAAATAAAAATTAATTTCTACTCAAATAGGATTTGTTGATATTTAAATCTATTTTAAAAAGGCTCTTAAGTTATTAAAATTGAATACATTTATTATGGATTATAACCACATGTGCTTTCCCCTCCGTATATACTACTTGATATATTATAAGCACCACACCCTTCTTCATGTACTGAAACGTAATAAAAGGGTACAAGTTTGAAAGAAATGTTAATAAATAATAATGTCTGGAGCATCATAATGACAAGGTCTAGGAATATTAATAAAGAAGAATTGAAAAAAGGAGTGGTATGGGTCGCATTTAACAATTCTTGCTTAGCTCCTAAAATACAACCTAGATGTTTAAAAACAAATAAAATAAAGCAAAATTAAAATTTACAAAAATTATCTTATAATTATTTTTAATAAAACAATTTCCGCACACAAAGTTGTCCAACTAATAGATAGGGATTTATAACAAGAATTACAAATTAAGATAGTCCGATTTACGTTTTTATGAAAATAATTTAAGCAATGAGCAGGTTTTTTTTTTTTTTAAACGTAAATTTTATGACTAGAAACATTAAATTTGTCACTTATAAATACGCACTAACCCCTATGACAGAGATCTGGGAGAAAAACACAGTTTCGTAAATAATTTACATGAAAAATATTTTAAAAATCATTATTATTTTTTTTCTATTTATAAATAAAAAGTGTATTTAGGCAATTATATTTACTAAAATAAATCACAGATCATGAAAAAATTATAAATAAAAGCTTTGCAACAGTTAATTTGTAGTCACATTTGCTGAAAACACGAGCACTATTAGGTGACTGGATAGAAGTTGACATCATTTCTTTACACAGCTTGAGTTGAATTTAAAGCATTTGCCTAATAAACCTCAACTTAGTTAATATGAACTTGAAGCTTTTTAATAAACGAAGAAGTTTTTCTAAAAGTGGTGTATCTGTAGTATACTTAGTTAAAAATCGCCAATAATTTATGATTTTTTTTTTAACAGAACTTAGCCAAGTTTAGCTGCTCAAAAGTCTTCTTGAAATGGTTTGAACAATGGCAAATTCTATTTTAATTTATAGAAAATTTTACCTAGTTTACAGTGAAATAATTGTTATTTACTTAAATTAAATATTTCTTCAGTTACCGCTTCCTATCCTTCAAAAAAGATGACTTACTTAAAATAATACTAAACTTCAATTTCCTACTTTTCTGCTGAGAATTGGCTCATTGCTTATATGAACTTTTTTGTAGGCCTTGAGGTCTGGAATTTAAAAATTTCGTTCTACTTACGGGACACCCTGTATATGTAACTAGACATATTAGTACGTAATACCTTATTATCTCTTTTCTACTTTAAGTACATCAGTGACGCTATCTTATTCCCTTTTCGCCTCTCTAACACGGCGTCGCGTTAAGATACAATTTTGAATAATAGCTTACTACAAAGAAGACGAAATGCTGAACATTTCTCTTCCTGACAGTATGCTGGTCCGATTTCTAGTTCCTGAGATATTTTAATCCAAATGTAAAAAACATTTCAAATATTCACTGGTGTGCTTAAAGTATAAAAGAGACGGTAATAATACACTTTAAGAATTATTTTAAATGTATATTATATTGATTATTAATTGAATATTTACATTTAATTTTTAGCGGGGATCACACAGAAGTGATTGAAATAGATTACGACCCAAACATGATTGATTTTGAAACCTTGCTTAAGTTATTCTGGGATAACCATGATCCGACAGCTAAAGCCAAAATCCAGGTGAGCTACATGAAATATTTTTTTATCTTTATGGGTAAATATAAAATCTTCCTCAAGGTAATTTTTATTCAAATGTAAATAATATTAAAATATGAAGAACTAACATGAGTTGAAAGAACTATCGCTTGTGAACCTTTTTCATTAAATATTTTGAGTTTTTCTTTTTGGCACCGACACCTGTCTATTTTGACATCAGTATATGACTCTTCAGATTGTACCTCCTCATACATAAAAGTGAATAACATTATTACTATATAGGTGACGACATTATTTACTAAGCAAGTTTGTTAGCAATAACATATGACATTACCATAGCCTTGTCAGCGTTTTCATCTCATATCTCTTGAAAGAAATATGTTCAAAACAGTTCCTTTATCTGCCAATAGAAAAACTGTATCTTCGAAATTTCAAAATGTTTTCAAAACAATAGAATATGCGCTGAAACGATTTTTGAAACCTAGCAATCTGATATAGTATGTGTGCCAACAACATGAAGACGCATTTATATCACGTTTTGAGAAAACGTAAAATTCAATCAATGATAAATTTATCGCATCTTTTTTACAAATTTATTTGAATTATTATGATGTACATTAATACAGTTTTTATTTTTTAATTTAAATTGTTTTCTAAAATAACTAATACGTATATGATTTTAATTTGTTTATTCTAATTAGTTTTGGCATGCGTTTGATCTTGATTTATTTCATATTACTTTTATTGTTGTATTCTACATTTTTTATATATTCGATATATTTCTTTAACATTATGATTTACTGTGGTTTACTTCTGAACGCGCACATCCGACCAGCTCTTAAACTTTGTTTGACCCAGAATTGATTTAGTTGACCTAGGTTCATACTTAGGTGAACAAAATCTGCATAATTATCAGAAACATAAAACATAGTTGAATGGATTGAAATATATTTAATATTATGCATCTTAATTATTGATTTTTAGGAACTCAAAATAGCTCTCTGGTTGTAAATAATATATCAAATCACTACTTTTAATGTAAAAGGAGGAGAGCACAAAAACTGATTATTTCTTTATGATTTATTATTAAGTATTTCATATTTTATTTCTCTCTGGTAATTTCCATAGAAGCAGACTACTTATAACATTTGCAGACTGGAGAATAATAATTTTTTAAGCTCTCTTGACAGAACATAGAACACTCAAGTTTTATAAACGACTTTTTGCACTAACAGTTGCGAAATTTGTCTTTTCTATTCAGGTTTATTATTACTGAATAAAGAATATATAAAGAAAGAGTTAAAAATATTTGTCAATGTTTCTTGGCTGTAAGATTCACGTTCTTAAGACATTTTCAATATGTTTAAAATGTTTATATGACTTAAATGAATTTTTTTGTTTTGGGTGGGAGAAGGAGAATTGAACAAAATTTCGGTATGTTTATAGTAATATTATTACCTTGAATTAGATTTTTTTGTATAAAAATTATGATAAGTAGCTACATAATTTTATTATTGTAAGAAGCCAAAATGATCGACCAGTAAGCTACTAACAGTAAGCCAGTTAGCATCAATGACATTACCGGCTATGGAAGTCGCACTGACCTGGTTTACTTTTGTTCCCAGTACTCCTCCTTCATTTTCTACCACGACGACGAGCAGAAGGAAGTCGCAGAGAAATCCATCGCCGAACAACAAGCCAATTTCCAGAAACCCATCCTTACCAAGGCCAGGCCCGTACAGAAATTCTATGATGCTGAAGAGTAAGTATCTTGCCAACCATCCAACACTTATAAAAAATCTGATGCGGTACGTGCCTCACACAATTTTCACTTACCAACCTTAGAGTACATAGATATTTTCATGTAAAGGGAAGACAAAATGAAAACGACGGTATAACTTTATTGAAAACAATTAATTACCATGTTTTTCCTGCCAATCGAATCTATAAATATATACGTTTGTATCACTTTTCATTTCCTTTTACGAATTGTACCAAATAATAGTAATGATTGTGGGGGAAAATGGATCATTTGGAAAAATTCTTTTACTGGAAATATATAGTTTTATCGGAAACATTTATCACGAATCTCGTCAAAAAATAGTTTGAAGTTTGTAAATATTGTATATTATTAATTTTATAGTAGTAGATGATCAACATTGTGCCTAAAAATCCTTTAAAAAAATTATGGATAAGTGATATATAAGAGTTAAACTAACAATATGAAAGCCCTATTACAGAGGGGTAACTGGTGTCTATCTGTATATATTTAAATTTAAATAAATTTTCTTCGTTTCTTATATTTAACCATTTTTATATCAGTTTACAATATGAATGGTTAATTATTTAAAAAAATAAATAAAGGTACTTTAGAAGAAGAAATTTTGAAAATTAGGTATTTAAACTCCGTTAAAGAACATCAATGGAACCTGTATTATATTTAATACCGCTTAATTTTACACCGATATAATGATTTTAATCAAAATCGTTATAGCCATTTTTGAGAAAATTGTAAAATCGATGATATGAAGTGGCACTTCCGAAAAAGATACTCTTAACATCCCAGGCAAACACAAACCTTAAATAAAAAATTTCAGTTGCGTTCGCCTTTTCATTTTTGAGCTAGAATGATCACATACGCATACACACCATTTTGCGAGACTTGGTTATTTGGACTCAGGAGACCTCATAACATTACATATATTTACGTTGAAAATTCATATTCGAAAAAAGTCATTTAGGGCCACTTACGCATCCAGGATTTAATTTTGGGAGGAAGGGGGAGTAATTATGATAATTACTTTGGCAGAAAAAGAGGGAAACTAACTACCTATGTGAAATGGCGTTTAATTGATTCTTGAGGTCCAAATCTCCAAAAGATCTTTTTTTAAAGATTTTTTTTTCGAAAAACATGGTTATATTTTACCATTTTGTGGAGAGAGAGAGAGGGGGACGCTTCAGCCCGAAAGCCTCCTCTCAACCTCCCCCCATATATCCGCCTACGATTAGGGCAAGTTCCTAAGCTCAGCGCTGAGATTATGAACTTTCCTAGCTTGCTTGTAAATCTTTATTATTTTTATTTAAATGAAATAAACATTTAATGAAAGATTACAGCTGAATACACTGAAAGTAAATCGGCAAATAAAGCAAATGAATGTCTTGGATGTTCGTTGTTTGCTTGAACTAATTTTTTTACTCTGAATAACATTAATTTTAATTATATATTGTTTTCTTATTTAATGTATTTGCATTTAAAAAAAAAAGTAAGATAATGCCGCTAAAAAAAGTAGATTTTGTAAAACATTTAAAATAGAATTTTTTTATTTGATCACTGAAAACGTCTTTTGATTTTTGATGTTCCTGTTTTATAAAAAAATGATTCCAAAAATTTAAATTGAGTTTATTATAGTTGTTTTACGGACATAAAAAAATGCTTTAAGATCATTTTGTGGATAAAACCTTGAAAACTGTAGCGATAAAACATTCCATAATTCATAAAGAACGGTCTGACATCCAGAAAACCATGAATAAATGGGAGTTATGAATAAAATATATTATGTTAGGTGATTATAATATGATTGGAGATCCATATTACCAGCTCCTATGCGGAAATTAATCCTTAAAAGCTAGATAATTGGCAGACTGTGGTCTATATCAAGATAGCCAACACGAACAAGATGCCTCAACTGAAATAACTTTGGCAGTGGCAAGGCTAGTGAAGAGGTCGTTGTATCTGGGTCGTGCGAAATATCAGCAACCGACTCGTGATTCTTATTTCTAAAACTGTGTCACGGTCACTGGCTCGCCAAAATTTGCCTCAAACAAGCGCGTGTTTTTTTTTTTTATATTTGTCGCTATTTCTATCAACATAAATATAGCGGAAATACTCAAAGCTTGTTTGTAAATGCGCATTTGGCCGGTCTTCAGTAAAATAAATTCAGAACTTTTGTAGTTTTCGTGATTTACTTGAATCCTGTATGTTTGAGAAATGGCTCAAAGTGGGAAGAAAGTTAGGGATTAGCGTAAAAAATGTCTATTATTAATTTTATCAAATCTTATCACTCATTTCGCTTGCGCATGGGAAGTGATCCTAACACCAACATATATTTAAAAAACGACCCATTTTTTTTTAAAGAAAGCTATACTTATTTCCTTGGCTGTCATTTTTTATTCTTCATAGAGTTTTATGAATGTATATCAACTATATAACTATTCCATAAAATTGTTAGATTGTAATACGCCATGGTAAACTGGAGAAAAGTCAAACACAAATAATTTTATAGCGACATTTAAACTCATTTATAACTTTTGGTTTGCGAATTAAACTGTATTGAAGAATCACAAAAAATGTTAATATTCCTCAATTTAATTTTTTTTAAACAAATTGATACATTAGAATTTCTCATAAGCAGCCAAACCATTTATTTTTTTATACTTTTCCATAGTGAAAATTAGTTCTGTTTTGTTTATAATTTTAATTTGTTTATATTAAGGTAGATGATATATTTTTTTTTTTGGTTTCTTCTCCAGAGGTTGCCAATTTTCTTTTCTAATTCTCCAGAATAATGTGATGAATTGAAACTTTATTAATTAAAAAAAATATATACATGTTTAAATGTTATAATAGTCATGGATTCCGATCTGAAGGGCCATCTAATAACAGATTTTTTTTTTCATTACAGCATAAATAAATTAGCTAATTTAAATTCTTAAAACAGCAGTAATTGTAATTCTACTTACAAATTTCACATCTTTTAGAAGTTATTATAATTAATGTAAAGTCATCCATATTTTAAACACTAAAAAAAAAAACTTTTTGTTTTTATTATTTTAATTTCATTATGTTGTTTATCTGTTACAATGTAATACAACAGCAAAATCTTTTTAATTTTTCTGGTTAATCTGGTCATTTTAATGATCTCTTTTTCATTGCAGTTATCACCAGAAGTACAGGCTTCAACAGCATCCTTGGCTTTGTGAACTTTTGGGGGTCAAAGGAGATTTACTCAAAAATAGCTATGTCGCTGCCAGGTTGAATGGTTATGTTATCGGCTGCGGTGGAATCACTCAATATGAACAAGAGCTACCGATCCTAGGGCTTGACGAAGCGGTTGGGGATTATGTCAGGAAATTGGTCACCAAGTATGAAGGCCAAGGGCTGATCTGCTGAGCTGCGGACCATCTGCTTATCAACTACAAATAATAAACATTATTTCATTTTGATGTTTAAGAACATGAATACAACATTATTAATCAACTTGTTTCAATGAAGTTTACTGTTTTAGATACAAAGCCACTCCAAGATATTAGATAAATTCCCTAACTTTCAATGAAATAAGTTGAATTAACAATTTTTAGATCTATAAATCCTTTTTTTTACATCTTTAAGTTTGCTCTGTTTTTGTTTTGTTTTATTCTTAGGATAGATTTATGATAGCTAAACAAGTTTATATTTTTTTTTTAAAAATGTGGAAAATAGAATGTAGTTGGTTTAAAAGCAATGGAATTGACAATAATAATGTACATACCAAAAATTAAAGCTAAAAATGCATTTCTCTCATTTACATTCCAGTATTTTATTGAAATAGAAATGCATACAATGTCTTGTAATTTATTATAGATTATTTTTATGTTTTCTCAATATTTCTATTATGTAGAAAGGGTGTTAACAAAATAAATAAGTGAATGTTATATTGGTTTCTGTTTTCTTTTCATAATCCACTTTATTTATTATATTTATTTTATCAAAAACATTTAAAATTCTACAGATATATATCCAGCAGACCAAGGTGCAGTATAACTAAAAGCTTATAATTTCCAAGTCAATTTCAACCTTTTCCAAATCAAATTCAACCTTTTCCAAGTCAAATTAAACCTTTTCCATTTCAAATTCAACCTTTTCCAAGTCAAATTCAACCTTTTCCATTTCAAATTCAACTTTAGAATTTTTGTCAATTTTCGATTTTTTTCGAAATGAAGGCCACTTACTATATTATCGACGGCATAGCTTTTAAAAAATACAAAAAAAAAATTTGATTACGCAGTTGCATATCCATTTATTTTAACATTTTAGATTTTTTCAGTGTGATATTTCTATGTGATATTCAATTATTTCCAAGTCAAATTCAACCTTTTCCAAGTCAAATTCAACCTTTTCCAGATCAAATCAAACTTTTTCCAAGTCAATTCAACCATTTCCATTTCAAATTAAACCTTTTCCAATTCAAATTCAACCGTTTTCATTTCAAATTAATGTTTTAAGTTTTTGTAAATTTTATATATTTTTTTTAAATAATGGCCATCCCCTCCCCCCCTCCAATATGAAAGTCTATTATTATGCTCTCCTAAGTAGAATTTTCACTTACGGATATCGATTTATTGTACCTATTCGGATTTCTTAGGGACTAGTATTATGCTGTCCTGTACCTAGTTTTGAAAATAACCTCCATTTTAAGATTACGTGACTGCGTTTCGAATCATTTAAGTTTTTTTGACAAATTCGATATGTGGGTGTATTTTTATGTTTCCCGATCAGTAAATTTTGAAAATGACATCCATTTTATGTTTACGCCACTGTGTTTTGACTTATTTAAGTTTTTAGAATTTATCCAATATAAAGGTCTACTTTTATGTTTCCGGAGCCGTAGATTTTGAAAACGACCTTCATTTTAAGATTAGGCCACCGCGTTTCGACTTATTTGAGTTTTTCGGATATTTTTCATATGAGGGTGTATTTTTATGTTTCCGGAGCTGTAGATTTTGAAAATGACCTCCATTTTAAGATTAGGCCACCGCGTTTCGACTTATTTGAGTTTTTCGGATTTTTTTCATATGAGGATGTATTTTATGTTTCCGGAGCCGTAGATTTTGAAAACGACCTCATTTTAAGATTAGGCCACCGCGTTTCGACTTATTTGGTTTTTCGGATATTTTTCATATGAGGATGTATTTTATGTTTCCGGAGCCGTAGATTTTGAAAACGACCTCCATTTTAAGATTAGGCCACCGCGTTTCGACTTATTTGAGTTTTTCGGATATTTTTCATATGAGGTGTATTTTTATGTTTCCGGAGCTGTAGATTTTGAAAATGACCTCCATTTTAAGATTAGGCCACCGCGTTTCGACTTATTTGAGTTTTTCGGATTTTTTTCATATGAGGATGTATTCTTATGTTTCCGGAGCTGTAGATTTTGAAAATGACCTCCATTTTAAGATTAGGCCACCGCATTTCAATTTCTTTGAGTTTTTCGGATTTTTTTCATATGAGGATGTATTCTTATGTTTCCGGAGCCGTAGATTTTGAAAACGACCTCCATTTTAAGATTAGGCCACCGCATTTCGATTTCTTTAAGTGTTTCGAATTTTTATCATAAAAGAGTGTATTCTTATGTTTCCGGAGTCGTAGATTTTGAAAATGACCTCCATTTTAAGATTACGCCACTGCGTTTCGGCTTATTCAAGTTTTTCGAATTTATCCAATTTAAAGGTCTACTTTTATGATGCCGGAGCCTTAGTTTTTAAAACGACTTACATTTTAAGATTAGGCCACTGTTTTTCGGTTTTGTTAAGTGTTTTTGATTTTTCCTTCGAATAAAAAACATAATACGAAGGATTAATTTATTTTTCAATAAATAAATAAAAATATCTAATCAAAATAAATAAAATATGTATTGTCTCATTTTTAATTTAATTTTAGTTATCTTTTTTAATGTTGTGGTCTCCTATCACAAAATTATAAGATTTCGAACAATTAGCTGAAAAATCTGAATACGGAAGGTTAAATTTATTACCAGTTGCTTTTCGGCTTTTTAGTTTGTATTCTGTGGTTAATTTTACTTTAGCTTCATAATATTTATTTATTTATTCATACTCGAAAACATATTGATGAAACTTTGTATTGAAAAAATCCAAAATGAAGCCTAATTAATCAAGATGCAGCGGCTTAATCATAAAATGGAGCTTAAATATTAGATAAATTTAAATATTAAAGATTAGAAAAATTTCAATACGTCTCGGATAACATATAAGTAGATCCTTATACCGAAAAAGTAAAAAAAAAAACTTTTATAATCCAAAACAGTGGCATAAACTTTAAATTGGGTCATTTACAAAATGGGGGAAATCTACTGCTCCAGAAACATAAAATTAGACCTTTATACTTGTTAAATTCTAAAAATTTAAATAAGTTGAAACGCAGTTGCGTAATCATAAAATAGAGGTCATTTTCAGAATCTAAGGTTCCGAAAACATAAAAGTAGACCTTTAAATTGGATAAATTCGAAAAACTTAAATAAGTCAAAATGCAATGGCGTCATCATTAAATGGATGTCATTTTCAAAATCTACGGCTCAAGAAACATAAAAGTAGACCTTAATATTGGATAAATTCGAAAAACTTAAATAAGTCAAAACGCAGTGGCGTAATCATAAAATGGAGGTCATTTTCAAAATCTACAGCTCCGGAAACATAAAAATACACCCTCATATGAAAAATATCCGAAAAACTCAAATAAGTCGAAACGCGGTGGCCTAATCTTAAAATGGAGGTCATTTTCAAAATCTACAGCTCCGGATACATAAAAATACACCCTCATATGAAAAATATCCGAAAAACTCAAATAAGTCGAAACGCGGTGGCCTAATCTTAAAATGGAGGTCATTTTCAAAATCTACAGCTCCGGAAACATAAAAATACACCCTCATATGAAAAATATCCGAAAAACTCAAATAAGTCGAAACGCGGTGGCCTAATCTTAAAATGGAGGTCATTTTCAAAATCTACAGCTCCGGATACATAAAAATACACCCTCATATGAAAAATATCCGAAAAACTCAAATAAGTCGAAACGCGGTGGCCTAATCTTAAAATGGAGGTCGTTTTCAAAATCTACGGCTCCGGAAACAAAAAAGTAGACCTTTATATTGGATAAATTCTAAAAACTTAAATAAATCAAAACACAGTGGCGTAAACATAAAATAGATGTCATTTTAAAAATTTACTGATCGGGAAACATAAAAATACACCCTTATATCGAATAAGTCAAAAAAACTTAAATAATTCGAAACGCAGTCACGTAATCTTAAAAAGGAGGTTATTTTAAAAAACTACTCATACGATAACAGACCCACGCATCGAAAAATTAAAGATAATTAAATAAATAAAAAAAGGTTGAATTTGAAATGGAAAAGGTTTAATTTGAAATGGAAAAGGTTGAATTTGACTTGGAAAAAGTTTAATTTGATTTGGAAAAGGTTGAATTTGACTTGGAAAAGGTTGAAATTGACTTGGAAATGCTATAAATAAAAAAGGTATTTAAAAATGACACCAGTGCATTTAAAAAGAAGGTTATTATTATTATTTTTAATACTGGGATAACTACTCATATTTCATGGATATGTTTATAACCTTAAATATATTTACTGTAGTTTAATAACTCTAGAGATGAAATTATATTGAAATAATCAGGTATCTATTGGCCATTTATTCCAAAAAATCATCCAGAAACCTTTTGAAAATTAAATTAGTAAATAATTTGATGGATTTTCTGTTGTTTGTTTGTTTCGATGTCTAGGCGCAGAAACATCCAGGTCATCAGCACCCGATCAACTAAATAATACTACTTTTATACTGTTCGGATGGTTGGTCTTAAAAATAAGAATAAAAAAAGGATAAAAATAATTAAATAAAAGGATTAATAGAATAAAATAAATAAATAAAAATAACAATAGACACTTATTGACAATAAGATAGAATAGATAAATAAATAAACTTTAAAAAAAAATAGCAATAAATCAATAAATGAGTTGAAATTAATAACCAAATGAACTTTTAAAATAAAATGAAATGAAGTAAAGTAAATAAATAAAAAAGAATAATAAATAAAAAAATATAATAAAAAATAATAATAAATCTGCAAAGGGTCGTAATTTATAAACTTGTCATATATGTTGTTCAAGTCTTTCATTATCTAGGAACTTGAGAACTTTGGTAACGATTTCTTCTTGATTTCCCAGGGAGGCTGATATATTCTGGGGTATTCCGAGATCTTTTAACCTTGCGGTGTAAAAATGGCACTCTTCCAAAACATGTTTTATGGTTAGTGACTGGTCACACTTTTGACATCTGGGGATAAGATCTTTTGTTATGAGATGGAGGTGTGTCAGTCTAGTATGTCCGATCCTCAGCCGCATGAGGACGACCATTACTCTACGACTGCAGCATCTGGAGCTGGATTTTCTGTTTGTGAAATACCCACGTTATCCATTTACAATTAGTGTGACAATTTTTGACCTAACCATGGCAAGCAATGAAAATCTCGTAATATCATTTTAGTAAACTTTACAATGGAAAATAACAGTTTAATACTAAACTAATAGTCCTGCAATCGATAATCATTTATAGGTTAAATATTCAGATGCACTTTCAAATCTTTCTAGGCATAGATTTTCGAATAAATCTAATGAATTTCTAGGATAGGAAATGAGTCTTTCGGTTGACAGAATGACTAACTCCAATTTCAATGTTCTTCATTATTAATTTTAGTGATGGTTCTAGTGGCAAAATTAATACCTTTATTCACAGTTTTATATTTCAACACTGCAATCACCTACTCTGGAATGAACTTACTCACTATCTGTATAGATACAACTTTTCCAACTAGAAATATCACTAAAATGACATTACTCAAAAATGTTGAAGTTGTTGTTAGTCATTCTGTAAACTGAAAAGCTCAGAGACTGAAGTTGTGTGGTTTATAAAAGCAAATGGAGTAACTAGATTTTTATAGCCTACTGATGATATAATAAATAGATTTTTTGTAATTTTAATTGTCTTAATGATTTGTTATCTGTAAGCTTTAAGCTTTAGCTCTGTTTAAAATGCACTTCAAAAATTTTATAATAGCCCAGCATTGCCAGTAAATAATTTCTATTCAAAGTAGAAAGGTAAGTGAAAGTTGTGTGTTGCGTGTACCAGATTTTTTTTTTATGAGGTAGTACATTTTTTTTTCAAATATTGTTTAAATTTATTTATATTTTTTGTAAATAATTAAAAGCTGTGCCGGGTATTAAAAAGGATGAGACTGGATTGATAATTCAATCAGTGAGGAGAAACACCTCTTAGGTAACTCATTATTATAAATTTCTCCTTAGGTGGAAATAAAGATATGCAAAAAATACAATGATTAGAAGTAACCCGATAATTTAATTGAAAATGGCTTAAGAAGCTATAGCGGTGTTGTATGTAGTCTTATGAGGTATATTTAGAAATAGCAAAGAGAAAATCTATGAGGCAAACCTTGAAGGATAAGGGTAAGGGATGTTCATAGAATAAGGGTTACAAATGTCCACGAGGTAATGAATTTTAGATTGAAAGACAGATTTCTGTTATCATATTTATGATAACAGAAAATAGCCTTCTAAATAGCCCATGTTAAGAAAGTTCATAAAATACAACATTAAAACAGTAAAAAATAAATAAATAAATAGAATGAAAAGATCACAAATAAGGGTACGTTAAAAAAATAAGATCCAATTATTTTACTGATAACAGTCAAATGTATTCCATTGATATATGTTACAAGTAATGCTTACATTAAACTGTACATTAAATGAGCACAATGACAGTTAAGCCCTAAATCTTATGTTATACTATGTCCTCAGTACCATAGCAAGTACTTAAAGTTAAAGTTTTCTGTACAGGAGTATTTATTATTGGTTTTAACACTTATCAATTTCAAAAGTATACAGAAGATCATCAGTCCTATCTCAGGAATTCAGTGGAAAGCTCAGACTTACATAGATACAAAATAGATAAAATTATAGTTTAAGTTCTTCCTGAGCTCAAACCTCGAAGGCCTCTCATAGGTGAGCAAGAGCTTTTCTTTTTTTTTTTGGAAATTCATTTGAAACTGCTCTATCCCAATGAGCCGGCCCTCTGTAAAATTAACAAGTAATCACAGACAACTACAAATAGATTAAATACATCTAATGACTCGTGACTAGGTCTTGATGGAATTCAAAAGACTCTTGAGTCTTTTACTTATTTTTAAAATATATATACAATTGTAAGTTCGATTTTCAAACAGGGTGATAGGAAGTAAAAACTATAAATTTTATGAACATTGAATCATTTATACATTGTAAACATTGTCCCTTAAGTATACATATATATTTTAAACAATTCATTACAATGGGAGAAAAACATAAATTGATTATGGAGGATTGAAAAAAGAAAAGAAGAAATCAGAATATAACATAAGATAAATTAAAAAAAGATCTGATTTCTTTTTTTTTTTTAATGAATGATCTTATATGTTTAGGAAAAAGTAAATCTTATTCATTACCAACCGATAAAAATCATGGTGAGTCAATACAACTCTAACTTTATAGAGCCCATCAATTTGCCTGATTTCAAAGTCTAAACCATTGGAATCTAAATTGTGGATTCTAAATTGAATTTGGAATTAAAATTCATTATAATTTTCTCATTAATTTTTCTAAAAATGGGCCTTTTAACAAGTCTGATGGTTTCAATGAAAAATGTATATTTTTTTTCTTAAACATTTAGTGTTATAAACATTGTTAGCTTGATAATTAGCAAAATAGGAGTGGTAATTGGGCATTTTTAAGAAAAATATGCTATTAACTTCACTTGAGACAGGTTGTTCCTTACTGTGTCTGTTTAAATTAAAATGAAAAAATATCAGATAGAGTGCTATTAACATGAAAATTTAATCTGATAGTTCTTAGAAGTATTCTTTTCTTTACATAAGAAAAATTAGTATCTTAAATTTGCAATTGGACAGTGAAATGATTTTACAGTTTCTACTTTCCTATCATTAAACAATTCAAACATTTAGTGTTTGTATTTTTTTTTTTACAAACAAATATTACACTCAAATTCGTTTCAACACGATATTGTTCAACATTAATGTTAGTGACATACAAAAATTTTATATTGTTATAAATATATCTAATTATTAAACATATATATTAAATATGTATGTAGCTTTGAATTTTTTTTAGAGGAATTTTTTATTATATTATAAAAACTATCAGGGGTTTCTGTTTGATGGAAACATCTAAACCACTATTATGGCGAAACATAAAATCTACACATATATACAAATAAAAATTATTGATTGCTTTCTTTTTAAGAATTATATACAACTATGTACAAAAGGATTTTGATCCTGTTTATTAAAGTTTAACTTTACACAGGTTATTTATTTACAAATACTAATAGGATCATATTTACAAGGAACCATTTCATGGACCAATTATTTTCTTTTATCACCTTCTGAGGTAACAAGAACTTTTATGGGCATCTTCTAAGTGATTATGGGCCCAAACCTTAAGGACAAAGAAATTTAGTGATTTATTAAAATTTGAGTATAAAAGCTAATCTCAACAATACATAACATTATTATTTTTTTATTTGTTATTTTTTTTTAAGACATTTTCAGATACATCCATGAAAATCATGATATTTTCATAAATTAAAAACACATAAAACAATTGAGACCACGTAATAATAATAACGTATTATTATGATTACATGGTGAACAATCAGAGACTGGGTTTTAATGCAGTTAAATGTTTAGTTTGCCAGCTTTATTTTGCAAATGCTAAATAATTTTTCCTATTAGTCCAAATAGAAACGATTAATCTCATTTTTAATTTGTATATTTATTATCTTAATATCAAATAATAATGTCTTGAATAGAAAATATGAATGGTAAAAAAAGTAATTTAACCATTGACAATTTTATAGAAACAGCTTGATTACATTAGTTTTCCATCCTCTCTATATATCAACTCATTTTTAATTTAATTGATAAATTTCATATTGAACAAAGTACTTTTATTTTTTAATATTTGTATCATTAAAAAAAATATATATATATATATATTTGAATATCAATTATATAGTTAATTAAAAGTACTTGAAATCGGTTAGTTTGTTTACGATTTTCTGGTTTTCTAGATCATTAAAGGATTTTGTACTGCATGAAAATCCTGTCCATCAATGATAATTCTTTCCTAATATTAAAAAACACTACTTCATCTCCTCATCACTCATGATGGAATCACATCAATGGCAGGTTTCAAATGAATTTAATTTAATATTATTTATCAAAAGTTACTTTGAATGAATTTAATATAATAAAAACTTATTTTAACTACTTATATCTCATATAGGACGGTTTTGAGTAGTGTTTATTAATCTAGGAAAGAACAATATGTCAGTTTAAATAGGTAAGATTAAAAATGAAAAAAGATTTAAACAAATGAATATTAAATTTATAATGACTTTTTGGACTATTTAATAGCCATTCAGGACCAAGAATATGGTAATTGAAAATAAATATCAACAAAGATTCAAATAAACAAAGAATCATCACAATTACAAGATAAGAAAGTTTTTAGAGATCATTTACAAAGTGTATCTAAAATATTTGATACTCCAGGCTTTCCAGTGAAAACAAATCTTGAATTTATAATTAAGATTAAACTAAGAAAACTGTGCTTAAAATTGTGTTTTCACAATAAAGAAAGCACTGGATGGAGTTCGCTACGCATGGCACGGCTGTGCTGCTTCAGCATACATGCAAGATGACTCGCTGCAAGAACAACAGGTGTCACTGGCATGGCTACTACTGTAGTCATCCCACGTTCTTTTCCATGTTTCCCCATCGCATGGACATTCACCTTGAAGAAAAATATCATGTGATCAAACATAATTAGGATAAAAAAAAACTACAAAAATGCAGATTAAATGCAAAATATTACTTCAATTTAGCAATGATTCAAAACACTAGGTAAACAACTTTTCATTTTTCAGGTTACATAAACATAAAACAAAGATTTTTTCCTTTTGCACAATTATATCCCGACCACTCCACACATAGCTAATTATAATGAATTAATACACTATTGCGGTGCAAATATTATATATTTACAGTGTTCTAAAAATATATATGTAAATGTTTTAAATTTAAGTATTTTTTCTTAGTGTTAAACAACTACAAAGTTATTATAAATTTTCTCGACTGCTTATACAATATTGGTAACCAAAATTATGAAAATATAATTTTAAATTTTTTCCTATTATGTTTGTAAACATTGAGTATATAAACACTCTAATAAAGCAGATGCTTCATTTGTAGTTGTAAACTGGATTTACAGAAATATTCAATTAAATTTACCTTTATTTACTGTATTAATCATATTTATTTTATACAGTAATAAAAGTGTTAGTATTATTATCTAAGATAATTTTATACTAAATACTTAATACTGAATAAAGTATATACTGAATAAAGTTACACTGAATTTAGTATACTACTAAATAATTTATACTGATAGTTGTTAGAAACATTTTTCGAAAGAAGTTACGTGGTCTATTGAAATACTTAATTACATTTAAAACTTAAAACAGTTTTACAAAATGTTTTTTTTAATCAAAGGAAATAAAACTGTCAGAATTCCTAAAATAAAATGTGTCAGAAATCACTTTAATTTCTTAAATGTCCAATATAAATATGTTGTATTTTAACTTAAGTAACTGATTAAATTGAGAGCGAAATTCCATCAGCCAGATTCAAATTAACAAAGTATGTAACATTCTGTAATCAAACTACAAACACACTAAGTACTACAAGAAACAAACTGTGCTACAAAAAGCTTACGATGAACAACCCATCGATTCATTCTACTATTTGTTACAATATGTTACATACCTCTTCATTGGAGTTCTGCCACATCGGGTAGTGCTAATTAAAAGTTTTTGTTAGAACTTTGTCAAGAAAACGAATTTAGAGAATACTGAAAAATTTAAATAAAAAAAAAAAAAAATATGACTTACATTTTCCAACATCATGTCTGTGCTGATGGTTGTTGGGAAGAGAAGATGGGGGTTTGTCCTGACAGCAGTGGATTTCACAGCTGCATAACCTTTAAAACATTAAATGGTGAAAGGAACCTAATATTCGAAAAAAGCATTCAGGAAAATAAAATAAATCTAAATTTTTGAAAACTGTATAATATATATATTTTTAAAATCATTAAACATATTTTAGTGAATAATATTCAATTTTTCACGACTAAGGACATTAGCAGTAGTGATGTAGGAGCATAAAATAAATTTATATATAATATAAGAAAAATATAATATAATTTAAAAAAAAGTAAAATGAATTGCATGAAAACCCTTAAAATTAAACAAGAAAATAATTATTTGGACTCAGGGAACCTCAAAATGTGTTGTCAACTTGGATTCAAAATTAGCCAAGATCGTAATACCTTCCTATATTATATATTTCATATATAGGTAAGTAAAAATTAAGACACTTTATCAAGAAGCAAGAACTAAGGCACTAACACTAAGTATCATTATATAGTAATGATAAGTATACTGATATTAGGTTTTTAATTAATTAAGTAAAATGAATTGCATAAAACCCTTAAAATTTAACAAGAAAATAATTATTTGAACTCAAGGAACCTCAAAATATGTATTTATGTTGGCAACTCGGATTCAAAATTAGCCACGATCGTAATACCCTCCCATACTATATATTTCATATGTAGGTAAGTAAAAGTACAAATTAAGATACTTTATTAAGAAGCAAGAACTAAGGCTACACTAAGTATTATTATATAGTAACGCTAAGTAAATTGATATTAGGTTTTTAATTAATTAGTTGATGATATTGGAATAAGATTTCAAGAGTTATTCTGTTCCAATAAACCAATAAAGTAGTCAAAATCAACAGAGTTTAAACTGTTTTGATTCCATTTCAAAGAAAATATTCAATCAAAGTCACTGTTTGAATTATCCCAATTCTTGATCAAATTTACTTGACAAATGCTGTTCAAGTACCAATGTAGATCAGACAAATATTGAATATAGTTTTTCAAAATGACGTATGTTCTCTTTAAATAGATTATTTATTTTAAATCATTTGCATAAACTAATTTACTAATAATTAATATTATCGGATTAATCATTTTTAAAAATATATAATTTATTTTGGTAAAAGAACAAATATTGACAAAACATGAAATTTTTTAAAATAAATATGCTTGGGTACTTGAGCTAATAGTAACTTCCCCATAAAAATTAAAAAAATTACCTGTTGACTGGCTGGCCGTAAAGGAGGGAAGCACTTTCTTCGTGGGAATGGTCAGGAGTGGGCTCCCTGGGCCGGTGGCAATGGTGAGTGTGGTGGGAGGAGCAACTGCTTCCGCACGTACTTCGTCCGCAGTCAATTGAGCATCTTGGTACTTGCTATTAAAATAAGAAAAAAAAAAATCAAAAATAGGTATAAAAAATCAAGATAGGAAATTTTATAAATATTCAGATTAGGGCTGAGAAAATACTTTCCTATTATACATTTTAATTTTATATTAACAAGCTGTTCACAAAACCTGAAATACCAATCAACCTTATGTTTGTGGTTATCATGTAAACTGTCTTGATATAAACTGCTTGAGCATTGTCAACATAAGTAACTGAGATTAATTTTGATTACAATAGAATTTCATATTTTTCATTAGATTTTTAAAGATTTACAAGATGAATGTTATTTTTCTAATACAATTTTATAGAATATATAGGTTCATTTCTTTAAATTCTTTTCACATAAAAATTTAACTTTGCAATGAATGAATGAATGGAAGTAAACTTTATTCTGAGACACCTGATCTCCTTAAAATAACATAAATGTATAATTCCAGAGACGTTTTCATGGGTAAAGATAATAATTATTAAGAGAATAAATTATGATATTAAGAAACAAAATTATAAAATAAATTAAAATACTGAAATTACAAATATATACCCACATGTGTACATAAATTTATACACAGATCAATATATATTGTTATGTTTACATGTTTGTGCCAATAAACAGATAATTTTCATAGATTTTGATATTATTTAAATTATAAAATACCATTAAGCATCATGGAAAAAACAAAGAGTAAATAAGTGAAAATAAATCTGTTTAATAAGTCAGAATTAATTTTGGAGATTAAAAGAGTTTCAACAAATAAATTATGAAAAGAATAAGATTAAAAATATAAAGAAAACTATATTAGAAATTATGAGAAACATTCTTATTAAATTTCATAAAATTCTAATATTAAAAGAAAAATTATAATATAAATTTAAAATTAAAAGAATAGAATGAGAAAAGGTTCTTGAAAATGGACAAGAGCCTGAATTGTTGACCAATAGAGATTTATGAAAAAGTTTATAAGCGTTAAATCATGATAGAAATAAATATATGGTCATTGTAGATTTCTGTAACAATATTAGATAATTATTTCCATTATCCTTCCTTAAAAATATGATTGATCTATTATCATAAAGATTTTATCAAATGGAAAATATGTTTCTTACTGGATGGGAATGGATATGCCTCGCACAAGTGTCATTATGCCAGGCTGGGCACCGCTGAGCAAGACCATCTCTAGACCCACAACTGCCACATCTGCGGCCCATTGTGGGGCTTCCGCACACCTATAAATCAATTTATATAAGTAATCAGACCATTTAATATTTTAAAAGAAAAATAAAGCAAACAATTTTAAATATTTCACTCTGACTTGCAGATTTAGTTGAATTATCAATCATTTATGATTTTATCAATGACTTTGATTATGTTTATGATGAGTTTCTTAGAACCATTTTACCTGGTAAGTTCGATGTGATGCCCTCTGGTCTCCTTGAGGAGGAGGATGTTCAGGTGGAGGGGGAAGGAATTCATTCCAGTTAGGAAAACCATTCTGGAGGCAGTCTGTCACAGGAGTTTTCCTGTTTAATCTTCGCATCTGATTGTCTTCTGGAATTATAAGAGTGATTTAAAATTTTTTTTTAAGAAATAATAAAAGAAAAAGCTCTAATATAATATAGTATTCCTATTTTTTTAATCTTTCATAATTAAAAAAAAAATTACTTATAAACAGTGATAGAGAAGAACTTTAGGACCTGAATTAGTAATCTAGTACTAATGGTGAACACCAAAAATTTATTGGTGACTAATTGTTGATCTTTTTAATTTTGCATATAGTTTTTAATTAATTTAAATTAGCAACTGTCAGTAGTCTCAATATAATATTCTAGACTTAATATCAACAATTTCCTAGGCTGTTGATCAAATCCACTCTCTAAAATTTAATTATGAATACTATAATGCTTGCAATTTATGCTCACCTAAAAATATTGGTCTAAGTTCTTGACTGTGGTGGCTTCCTAACATTTCCTTTGAATCACCAGATGTGTTTCTTCCATCTGATTTCTGAAAGTAGCAAATTATTTTTGTAAATAATATTTAAAAATAACAAAATGGCAAATTATGATAAAACTATTAAAATCATAAAGTTCTTAACATGGAAAGCTTATACATATTTCTTATGAAATAATATGTTTTAATTTTAACATTTTTATCTGACATCATTGAAAGTAAATAAGTATTTTTCTAATAAAAATAGGAAGTTTGTTAAAACAAGCACAATTTTAATTACAAATTTAATTAAATTTAATTACAAATCAGAAAAAGTTCAGTATATTTCAATTAATTGAACTAAATAGAATAAGCACTTAATGAAAATACAATTTTAGAGGAATAAATATTGTTCAACAAAAATTGATAATAATTACATTTGCAGCTTCTTCTACCCTGCTGAGAAGAGTTGTGGTGGCGTAAGGAGTGAGCTGCTCTTTGCGAGGGTTGTAGAAGGTGGAAAGGCTCCGTGAATCCACTTCAGCATAATCCGGGGCGTCGTGAGGGCAGAGCAGCTTGCCTCCTTTGTCCCAACCTCTATCTATCCACAGGGTGTCTTTGACAGCCGTTCCATGGAGCAACGAAAGGTCTGTTCCAGTGGGACCGTCTGAAGCAGAGAAAGCTGTGGAAACGTAGGAAAGTTTCAATAAATTCTTTAATATTGTAATATATCTTCAATAAAAATTATCATTAATTATTATAGAAAAATAAATAATTAATAAATGAGAAAGTTGTACAAAATTAATGATGTCTATATTATTTTTGAATATATAAAAAATATCAACAGATACTCAACTAAGGTATCAACGGACTCTTTGCATTTTTAATTTTTAATTAAAGTTTAAAGATTTGTTTTCATTGCATATGGATAGATGGTATCTATTAGACACCTATTTTGAATTCCATTAATTGGTTACACAGGCGGATCTACGGGGGGGGGAGAGTGGGGGGCTTTCGGGCTGAAGCCTCCTCCCCCAAATGTTAAAATATAACCATGTTTTACAGAAAAAAATATTAAAAAATATTCCTTAAAGTATTCTTGTTCGTGTAATTATATTTAATAGGACTTCAAGAACCACTTAAACACAATTTCATATAGGTAGTTAATTCCTTTCTTTTTTTCAAATTAATTATCGTTATATGCATATGAAAAAAAAAATCTTTCCGGCTGAACCCCCCCAAAATGAAATCCTGGATCCGCTAGTGATTGGTTATAACAGATAAACTTTATGAGAGAATAAACTATCAATTTTTCAATACAAAAATAAAAACTTAAACTTTATTTCAAAAATAATATTTTGAATAAAGGTATTAAATGAAAGTTCAGAGAAGAATTTCCTGATCAGTTCAAAGAAGTAAACATATTGATAATTCTAATAATATAAGTACTTACTAGCTAGGTGAGCAATGTCCTTTTTGGTTCCCCTTTTCCTCATGTAGAGGAAAATACTGGTCCCAGCTGCAACAGCAATCAATGCCCCGAACATGACTACCAGCACCCAGGTCTGGCTGTTAGACTGTGACGGTTGGGCATGAGGACCAGGGATGCCAACTCTTATCATGGACACCAAGCTGGAGTAGGGTCCTGGTCCGAGCCGAGTGTAAGCTGCCACTCGCACGGCATAAGTAGCACTGGGGGAGAGGTGGTGCAAGGTAACAGTGCGTGTTGTGGCATTGACAGTCATCTGAGAACCTGTCTTGGTTATGTTGCTTTTCACTTGGACCTGAAAAGGTTTTGATATTTTCTTATATAATTTGAAATTAAAAAAAGAGACAAATCACACATAAAAATAACTATGTCAAAGAAAAAAAAAAGGTTTTAAAATTATGGTGATTTGTGTGAAAAACAAGAGCATTTTGGTTTAGTGTTTTTTTTTTTAATATGTATATATGAGTTAATAACAACAATTATTTTCAAATTTAGTAAAAGAAAAGAAATCACCTTATAACCAAGCAGGACCCCATTAATATGTTGAGCTGGCGGAGGTGACCACCTCACCGAGGCAGTTGTCGAGTTCAACATTTCCATTAAGACATTCAGAGGAGGAGCAGATGGAGCTTTCATGAAAATCAAAAAGAATATATTAATTTATTTTATTTTTATTTATTTTTTTTTACAAAAAAAGATATTGTTCTGTATATTCCATTTATTTTTCACTTTTGTTCATAGTGTGTTCACTTTTGCGAATTGCGTTGAGCGCATATTTAATATATCTAAGAATATATTAGTTATGTAACTATCTACATTATTACAAACTTCAAATTAGCTTTATGTTTACTATTTACAAATCTAAGTACATGAACAGTAAGCATAATAAATTACAATTTCAAAGTCCCATCGCCAGTCGATGACAGATAGATTTTACAAATTAAAAGGATTGTTGAAAGTTTAATTAAATTAAAAAATTTAACATATCTCCAAAAGAGTATAAGTTGCTTTTAATGGATTAATTTAGTTGTATACAATGTTCACAGTTTTTTAAAAGTTATTATATCTTTAACTCATTTATAAACATTACATGTAACATTTCAGATCAGTTATGTCTGCGTTCATGAAATTTTAGTACTATTGGAATGATTTTTTACGCAACAGTGGATTTATTACACATCTAACAGATATGTTATTTATTATTGTATTCAAAGTAATGTCATGTAAAAATAACAATATCAGTTACAAAACTTTTTGAACTCTATCAAATAGTAACTATGATTAATTACCATCTTCAAGTGTTTGAACCACTTTAGAGTTGGATGGTTGTCCTTCGAGAGACTTGAAGAATGGAGTGAGGAAAAACTCATATTTAGTGAATTTGCGCAAGGAAGAGACAGTGTATTGCGACGCTCCAGCTGCCATCACTGTGACTAGACTGTACTTATGCCAACCTCCTGAAACTTCTCTGAACCTCACATAGACTCCTTCAACGTATTCGTCACTTGTAAGTAGCTACAAATAAAAGATATAGCGTTACTAATATTATGACTTATATATTGTATATTTACTTCTATTTATAATTTATAATTCAACTAAATATTGATGAATTATATTTAATTTAATTAATCCTTCACACACAGAAAAAAAAAATATATTATACATTAAACATTTTCTGATTTACATAATCTATTTTGAAAGGAAATTAAATTTTTTATTGAAATTTTAATACAAATTTTATTTAGAATTAGATACAATGATTAATATACCAAAATTGCAAAATAAAAAAATAAAATAGTAACAAACAACTATATTTAATTACTTTACCAATAATTTAAAAAAATTAAATATATAAATTTTAATTTTTAAAAATTTATATATCTGCCAATTTTCCTCAAAGCAGCAAAATATTAAAAATCAAAATAGCTTACTATCTTCAGTTCCAAAATATGAAAACGCTTATCTGATTTTGTATTTTCTTACCATTTAGTAGTAATTAAAATAATAAAAGAAATATGCTATTCAGTAAAGATCAGAATTATTTTTTTTAAAATTTTATTTTATATAATGTATAAATAAAATTATAATTAAACAAAGTGATATGTAATAATATAATATGATACATATTTCTTACATATTTACAGATTTCTAGTAAGAATATTGCATAATAAAATTAACATTTGCCTTCATTACACAAGCTATGTGAAGCTATTTATATACATTTAAAATCTAAGTATACTGGAAATTTAAAATAAGATTACTCACTTCCCAGCTAACCCTGACTGTAGTAGAGCCGGTAGGTGTTAGATTCTTTAGCGTGATGACCCTAGTCCCCAGCCTGATCCTGGCCTCATCCAACTGGGCCTGGCTCACGCCTTGTGTTTCACCACTCTGCGTATGCAATATCTCTGATGTATTGCTAGGGACAGACAATCCATATGCATTCTCTGCTCGTACAGTAAACATGTACCTCGTATCTGGCTTCAGATCTCTTATCTGAAATCATAAAACCATATTTCTGAATAAAAAACAATTACAAACAATAAAGGTTATGATGATGTTATAGAATGTATCAAACAATTGTTTTGTAGACAAAATGACCAATTTTAACTATTATGCTTGAAACATCATGATTAAAAATGAGAAATATTGGTATTTTCAAAGAAAATATATTCAAATACTAACCGTGGCCACCGTCTGGGGTATGCCCCTGGCAGCGACGACCCAACCAGTCTGGAGGTCGGGACTGTAGTATTCGACTGTGTACCCTGACAGCGAGGATCCTCCTGGTGCAGGCTCCCACGAGAGAGTAAGAGCGTGCAGAGATGAATTGACCAACCTCAGGGCCAGAGGGGCCCGGGGCAGAGCCCCAGGTTCAGGGGCCCGCTCCAGCTCACCACCCACCTTCAACCACCCTGAAGCAGAACTTTCTCCACTTTCTGATTTAGCTGTGCAAGTGTAAATCCCATTGTCAGCTTCTTCAATATCTAAACAAGAAAATAATATGAAGTTTATTGATGAATCATAAATTATGAATGTATAATGTCAGTATTACTGTATGGAATTACTATTATAATTGTTAATACAATGAGTTATTAATTACAAATATTTTTCAAAGATTTACTGTTACAGGGGAGTACTGTTTTGTAGTTACCAAGATTACCACAAGGAGGTGGTGAGGTCAGCATTCAGGCTCAACCATCATGCTATCCCTCACCCCAATTATGGGTACCCACTTCATAGAGGCTGGGGGTACTTTCAACTCAATGGTCGATTCACGACTGGTATGATGGAATAAATAAATTGCTTGTCACAGCATAACTGGAACCAAGACCCAGGAGATAACAGTCCAGCACCTTACCCAGTGAACTACTCCATCCCTTTTTAAATATAACAAAATAATATTGTTATCATTGAGTAAAACTTTTTAACGTCTTTAGAAAACAGAAATCTCTCTTTGATGATAGGGAACTTTTACTTTATTACTTTTTCCATAGAATATTAGTATCGATCTAATTTGGCGAAGTTATCGGTTTAACATTCCGCTGGATTGGGTGCTTAATGTAAAGTATTCTACCGGTTTAGACGGAACCATTTTTAACCATACTAATTTATCGACAAGAAGAAGTATCCAGGCGAAGACAGAGGAAGGACAGGACTTATTAGGGCCCGAGAGAGCCACAAATCCTGGCGGTCCCGAGGGGGGCGTTCCAAAATGATTAAGCCAACTTAGTCTCCACTGACATCAATCTCTTATCTGTTAGCGCTGTCTACTCTCTTTGGAAAGCTTTTGTTTTATTGAATTGGCAGCTCATCAAAGTCTGGTTTTATGGTAACGATAAAAAGGAACCGTTGCTGATTTTTTCTTTTTCATAAAAACTTTTAAAGTTTCTAACACTATGGCCTTTATTTAATTACTAGCGAGAAAATAATTATAAATTCAGGTTATAATTTCTGTCGACCTCGAATAAGAAAAATCACAAAACAAATATCTAAATTTAATTAAATTTTGATTTTTTGATAAATATAAAATCCAATGAGGTTAATCTAGAACAGGAACGTCGTATGATTCTGGAGACATGTGGAACCCAAGTTTTGTAGCTCTAAGATTTTTACATAAATATTGTAACAAAATTAATAAAAGTACAAACTAATAATCAGCAGATATATTTCTAATAAATATATTTCTGAAAATAAGGATCAAAATGACATATATGAATTAAATTATTAAATATCAAAATAAAAATCAAGTCTCCAATTTGATATCCCTCTGACTTAGGCAAAAGTGTTACCGTTCGAATGAGAATTAACGAATTTATATGAGATTGCAAGCAAGGTATTGTACGACCTACGAGGTTCGATCAACAATGTTTCTAGAACAAAACTTTTGCTTACTTATGAAAAATTATATTTTTGTATATAAACTTTAAAACTTTTTAAAGACTATTTTAACTCTGTTATACATTTATATGTTATATTTAACTACTTTTCTTTTATAGAAGATTATTATTATAGACTTATTGTTTATGCTTTTTTTTTTTTAAATAATTTTAGCTGATTAGAGTGCTACCAATGGGTAGTTTCTCAACAAGCGTTTTCCTGTGATTGTATTATTACTGTGTGCACATTTACTAGTTGTATTTTTTTTTTTAAATACAGTTGTAAATATCAATAAATAATAAAAAAAAAAGATTCTAGCTGAAGAAAATAAATAATAAAAATGTTATTATCATTTTAAAATTATTTATTTCAGTTAGATGTTACTTAGGTATGAAATGCGATCAAGTCATATTTTTTTCCCATGAGTTTTAATAATGATATTGGACATGGAATCCGTTAAAATTTTTACTTTGCTTTTTCAATGTTTATTTAAAGCTGTCCAATAGATTCTAATGAAATATGCACATTTATGCATATTTCATTAAACTTATTTTGTACCCTACATTAAACTCATTTTACTTCCTGGTCAATGAAATAAAAAAATAAAAAAATTAACTTTATCACTTCAGCTAATAAGCAAAGCTCCAATCTAAAAAAAAAAAAAAGCAAACCACAGACTTTTCTAGAAGAATGGGAAGGACGACTTATTTTTTACGACCATCAACAATGGTTGCCTTTGGTATTTGCAATATTCCCTCCTACTTTTTACGCATTTGGTGAAGAAGATTAAAGCTCCTGAAGGAATTAGAAGCCACATATTTTATTCAAATTACAAAAGGTATTTATATTTTGGAAAACTAAACGATACACATTATTCTGTACTCAATATATACAGTTTATGCAGAGTATACCATCCCAATGGACAGTATCAAACTGGAAAAAAAAATTCACGTGGAATTAATGATTTTTATTCCGCATTAAACTGCTATCGTGAATATTCATTGGATCTGCTCCATCGGACAAGTGATAAATGTAAACCCAAGGTAAATATTCATTTGCGAATTTTAATCTTTATTGAGAGGAGAGGTGAGCGCAGATAAATCAGCTGGCACAGACCAATGCCTATATAATCTGAGGGAGCTTGTGATTTAGTGAGGATTATCCATTGATCAGGGAGGCAGTAAAAGGTTATATATCACGTCATATCAGTGGCCAGGGACGATTATTGAATCGATTCTAGATCAGGATATCTGCTCGAGATTTATAAGCGGTCGGAAGCGTTGGAGTGTTTCCTATCCTACGGAGGTTATCTCTCAGCAGGGGTTGTTGTGAATTATTTATGCCGAGGTGAAAACTTCGAATTGAAAGAATATCTACAAACGTCGCAAAGTGGGGCCGAATAGCGTTTTGGGGAAAAAAAGTTCCCATGAACAAGGGGTCGCAGGAAATGAAAATTCATTCATAATATGATATTGCTAAAATAAATATGTGCCCACGATCAGGCACTTGCATACAAATAAAAAATTCTTACTCATACTAGTAATTCTATTTAAAAAATAGTAATAAAAAAAATAATCATAGTTGAAATGAACAAACTGAAGTATTAGATCGATTTTACTTCTCATTCACTTGTATTGCATTTATGTGTAGGAAAGATAAATCAAACAGAGCGACATGGATGCCAATGTCCCCTAAGGTCGATGGCGCAAAAACCTACCCTCTCACCTTGGCATAAGAACAAAGGAAGCGAATGTAGAATTAGAAAAATCGCAGATCATATATAATTACACTTGCTGCGCCCTGTTCCATCATCTCTCCTTAACCCTACGTTTGAAACCTTTCATTTTGAAAATTCATAACCCTATCGAAATGCGCCTCCTCCATAATTCAAAAACCCGTCAAAATATGGTCCCCTCAAAATTTTTGATGACGCAACTTGCGCCATGAAAGTCCCTTCTGGCTACCCCTGTTGGGCGGAATATTCTAAAGATATTTATAGGTTAACATCAAGATTTTTAAACATATCAGAAAATAACAATTATAGGTGAGGTAGCTTTTTTTTCAAGCCCAAGTCAATCTGAAGTTTTTTTTTTTTTAAAATGGAAGCATTTATAATTTAACACATTTAAAGTTATATTATTGGTCTATTTTGACTGTGGTCTGATTGAGATATTGACGAGCTTGAAATTCAAAAGTTTCTAGAATTTTAATTGCAAAAATATAGAAATGTGAAAAAATATAAATTCAAGCTTAAAATCGCTATTTTGGGAATTATGAAAAACACCCAACTGTTTATATTTATTGTCCTTTAACCAATTATTTTACTTTAAAATTATATTTTATCTTGATTCTACAGTTGATCAATTACAATACACGGTAAATATTCGTGGATTTTAAAAATTTTATTTCTTTTTTTTTCACGTTTGCTCCACTGTGCGTCGCAAGACGGAATAGATCCCGTATGAAGTTTAAACTAAAATATGATAATAATGGGACAAATAGAGTAGAATGAAAATGTCACTTAAGATGAAACGCACTTATCCTTGACGTGTGCTATTAAAATATTTAATTAAAATTTTATATCACATAAACTTCAGGTAAGGATTGTAGTGAAATTGTATTTTTTAAAGTCGAGTTAAAGATGAATTTTTAAAACATGTCCGGGGATGTTTCAAGTGAAATAATAATAAGAAAAAAAGAGTAAAATCCTTGAAGGGAGACAGAAGGAAGAAGTTACTAATAGTAATTTCTGAGGGAGCGGAGAAAGATCGAGTTTCTCTACTTAATTATATGCACAATAGCAGAGAGACGTGTATATATAATAAAAATGTGATATCTGGGCTAAGAAGTTTGCGTCCTCTGCGGAGGGAATTAAATTAAAAAAGGAGAGAGAGAGAGAGAGAGAGAGAGAGAGAAAGAGAAAAGTTTCCCTCATTCCGGTTTTTCATTTGTCCCTGGGAAAACTCTCCCGAGAAGGATACAGATGGGCAGGGAATTAGAAGATGCCCCTTTATATTAAATTGAATAAGCCTGTGTAGGGATTGCTATAGCTCTTCTATTGGCATAATCAAAGGCCATTATCCTCATCCACTCCCTTTTTCGGTACCTGATCGGGTATTTCTAGAGATCGCTGTGAATGGCTCGAAAGGAACGACCAGCTAATCATGAATAATAAATTCAATGGTGGGAGCTACGCGTTTGAGCATCTTCCAAAACTTGAGTTTGATCTTCTCTTAATATCGAATAATTAAGGCGAATGAATAGGTTAGGTAATGGCAATGAATAATATCTTAGAGGTTGATTTTTCTACATCTAAACCAGACGTAAGAGTTGTTTCACATTTAAGATTAGATAAAAGGAGTATTAAGGATTCACTATTATGTAAACTGTGTCCGATTTTGAAAGACTATTGAGTCTCCTTTTCTAGAAATCGTTCACACAGATCGTGAGCTTATAAGATTATATTTTGATCGCGGATAATGATGCGCAAAAGAACAGCCACCTCACTGCTGGGAGAGAGAGGGGAGGAGAGTGGTTTGCGTACTGTAACTATCCAACTTTCTGAAATCACCGATCACTTACTCAGTGAAAATAACTAACTGCTACTTTTCAAATTAGTTCACGAATGAGCTACTCATCTCATAGCATCACACACCTTGAGATGTTTAGAAAAATAAAGAACCAGAAATATATACAATATTAAGATATCGAAGAGGCTTGTGTAGATTAGACAGGTCAAGGATCTGCACTGCCTTGGAAGATAATGAGGATATTATAATATAAATAATAAAATACACTTTTTAAACAAAGAATTTATAGAACGAAAATAATGAAAATTATATATTTGATTATCCACTCGATACTGAATAAAACGAAAACAGTTTTGAAAACTTGACGTTAACTATTAGTATATTGATGAGCGAGCCAGAGTTCAATACGTGTTTTGTTGAAGAATGGATTTGAATCAAAAGAATATTTTGACTCAAAATCTAGTTATGATTAAAAATTATTATGAAAATTTACGGTCGATAGATCCTAGTACCTTTACGACCATGTAAGACATTTTGTAGCGTTACAAAAATCTGTTACGTAATGGTTAAGTTAAACCTTTATAATAAAAAAGAAATTTTAACAACGTTCAAAATTTGTTACACATTTCTTCAAGACTGACTTCATTATGTTCCTGGAATATCGACGTCATATAGCGGTCGATTAGAGCTTTCATTCACCCATTGGTCATAAAATGAAGGTAGATGAAAAACATAACATATTATGAATCATACAAAGCAAAAAAAAGAAAAGCGTAAATCATTTATTACAGTTTTATAATTAATAGTGTTTTGAATCGAATTAGAGTAGTAAGCTTACGCAAAGCACGTTTTGCAGACTGAATCAAAACAGTGTATCCACCACGGGATCACCACAAACTAAATTTTACTCGCTGTCCCAAAGTTACCCACCCAGTCCCAAAGTTACTCCATCTTACGGTATATTATTATTGATCATGTGAATATATCTTATCAAATTTTACCAGTATAGTTTTAAGGTTTATATTACGCACTTCAACTGATAAATATTTATACCTGCTGGCGCAATATATAGTTACAGGCATACCTCTGTTGTTACGGAAACTTGGATTTATTGATATGAAACGTCAACTGGTGAAATAAAACAGTGCGATTTCCGTGCGCTGCCTTTGCAACTAATGTATCAAGTTGTCATCCAGCGTGTTTATAAAGTCCTCGGACTACCAAATGGTGACGTCTATATGTAAAAGACATGGAAATTGTGACCATATCCTTTCCTAAGCAGGAGTATGCGCTTGCCGGGAGTGGTAGGAGATGGTAAAAAATAAATAAAAAAGGTCTGAAAAGGTTCCCTCCTGAGTCGTTTGTCAAATGGTAATTCGGGGGTGTCTCCCTGGACGGGGAGGAGGAGGGGGCTCGTAGTCTTTTTGTCTGTCCCCTACTTCTCTTCTGGACTAATTCATATCACCGGTAATTCCTCTCTACAAGAGAAAAACTTAAAATGAGGACAAAAAAAAGAAATGCAGAGTATCATATCATAAACAGGATCAAGCTCGTCTTTCATCCCCAGGTCTGTTTTCTGTTCAAGGATCAGATGAATCATTATCTATCATTTGATAACTTGAATTAATTTAATTAAACATTTCATATTAGACTATAAGGACATCATAAGGCATGTAAGCAGAACAAAACTTATAAAATAAGAACAATCGACTTCGACTAAAAAGGAGTCAGATGATGGATTAACTGTAGTTCTGAAATCAGATTAGGATGCGGCACCAATGAATATCGATCTTTTAAACATCCCTTGCGTAGTTATCATCGTATGCCTAGTAAATTCGTTAGTTATATTTAATTTGAAAAAAAGGAAGTGCAAAAAAAAAAAAAATAAGCATTTGGGTTACAAAGTTATGTATTTTTAAAATTTGTATTGCTAAATATATTTCTTATATTTCTAAAGAAGGTTTAAATAACTTTTTGTTCGAGGTATGCCCAGTTATGGATTTATAGATCATTTCTTTTTGTTGTAAACTTTTTTTTTCTCACCATATTACCATAAGAAACATTGTAGTATTAGGGTAAGCGCACCAGTGGTGGACATAAGTAAGGAAATTTTTGTCTTTTCTGGCATATGCCGCCGTAATTATTATAGTTATAAACTTGTCCGTTTGACGTTTAGAATCTCAAGGGTCTCCTGTTTCTATTTCTTCTTCTATAGCTCTATAGCCAGGGATGGGCCATGGTTTCCTAAACAACAGCTCTCCAGATGTACCTGTCCTTAGCCATTTCCCTCCAGTTTGTAAATCCGCCTTAACCGCCTTTTTCTATTTAACACTTTAAAATTGAAAAAAAAAATAGTTATGCAGGTATAATCTCAATTAAAAAAAAAAAACCTTTTTGCACTAGCGATGGACTTCCCGGAATTCAATTGTTCTAGTAATGGACAAGGGTCCTAAAATTTTTTTAGCTACGGTTTCGAACTCTCAAATAAATGAAGAATAACTGGTGAAAAAAAATTTAAAATAAAAAAGGAGTATATGTTAAATTTACTGGATTAAGTTCCTCCACTTCGTTATGTTCGTTTAGAGCGATATGGTCAGCCAATTACTGACCAATCCACTGATATTAGGATTTTTTCTCAAATGACCCAATTAACTGTTTAGAAGGATATTAAAATAAAGAAAGGTTTATGTTTGAGTACTATTCTCCTAGTGACCCAACGGATCAGCAGTTGTACATTACCGAACCTAAGGAGCACGAAGACCAACCAGCCATGGCTGCACTAATGCTTACTTGCTTTAAAGGGAGAGTGCTTCGCTTGCTTGAGCTTCCAAAAGTTGGTAAGTTAAGGTTTATGAAGTGTGTAACATTCCTTAATTACATAGAAAGTAATAGCAGTAAGATAATTCCGGTAACTGCCACGCTGCGGGGGTTTCTGTGCTAACAGACTAAAAGCAACTCGGTACAAATTCAATGTAATAAAATAAAGTAAATATATGATCTGTAAACTAGAATGAGATAGTTTCGTGGTTATCCTAATTCTATTCAGCGAAAATGTATTTCTTCAGATTAATTTTATACAACAAATAGAGTAACCCCCGACAGAAACATAAAATATACGTACGACATGTTGATATTTTACATTGCTAATTCAGTTTATATACTTTTGATTTGTAAAGTGCAGTCTTACATTGTCCTGATAAAATAAATGTATTTGTAAATTTTCAAATATTTTCAACTTGGGTATTTGAACTTATTATTTTATTTTATTTTTAATTAATTGGATTCCCAAAGCACACGTGTTAGAAATAGTAAATGTATTTACACGTCTAGAGTAGGCCGTTATGACACTCAAAAAAATGTAGAAGTTTTAAACATCTTAACTTATTAGGTTTTTGCAATCTATCGAATAATTTTTTTTAATTATGAATAATTCATCGATCCATCGATTATTGAAAATTAATAAATTAACTGCTTTGAAATTCCAACATACCTCTTAAACGTTTTTTCTATAATTCAGCATAGAGCCCTATGAAATCTCAAAACAATTATTTTGAGTAAGCCTGGAAACTGATCCACACCAGCTTAAAACAGACTTAGAGGATTGGATCTTTGAGTATGCTCTCTTTATGATCTTTTAAGCCAGAATCCGACTTTACAGGAAGGAGATGTTCTAGAAAACATACCCGGCGATGAACTGCAACATCACAAGTTCAAGAATAGAGCCACAGACAGTTTTAGTAGGCTTCAGGGAGATTTGGAAGACCAAAAGTCCACCAGTCAGGTCCAAGAAGACCGCCAGATACACCGAAGATTAGCCATGGTATCATTTGCGAAATTTAATTGCACCCAAACTAATATTAGTTACGATATTTTGGAATTATGGTAGCGATGTGTAACAAATCGAGGACTTCGCTTCAATAAATATTAGGCATGAAGAAAATTAGGGTTTAGTTAGGAGAATGATGAGAATAGAGACTGTTCAGGATAGCTATAATCAACGGATGAAGGACCCACAAAATGCTACCATAGTTCGAAACACAAATTATGTCACTTTGATCTATGGATGGGTTTACTTACCGTCGATCTGCAGAGTGCCGTTGTGATAGAGGCTGTGGCGATGGGTCAGCTTAAGAGGAGCGCTGTCCTTGGCCCAGGAAGTGATTGGCGAAGGTGACCCTCTGACCTGGCAGGGGAGAATGGCCACGGAGTGGACGGGGAGTGACTGGTTGGCGGGCCCGATCTCTACGATGGGCGGTGGGCTGTCTCCGGCGGATCTTACCTGCAATAATATATCAGTTAATAAAGTTATAATATTAGAGTTATTGTAGGAAAAAATGAAATTTCGCTTTACCTCTAGATAAGCCCTCGCCGTGGTGGAACCAGCTACAGAAAGAGCGGAGCAGACCAAGAAGCCCGCATCCTCCCTGAGGACGCCGTGAATGGTGAGCTGCCCCTGGGGGCTGACGTGGAGGCGGCCGTAGGAGTTGGCGGGGAACATGAGCAGCTGACTTCCCTCCCTGGCCCAGTAGACAGAGGGCGGCGGCGACCCGCGGGCAGCGCACTCGAACTGGGCCACCCCGTTGAGGCCCACCGTCTGGTCCTCCGGCTTCACCGTGAATGTAGGAGGCGCTGCAAGAAGAGAAGGAGGTTGTGAATGGAGATTCAATCGATTCAAAACGTTAATCGTCAAAGATTGGAATTATATCGATTACTCACAGTGCACGGTGAGGGTGGCCTTGGCGGTGACGGTGCCGACGAGGTTTGTCGCGTCGCAGATGTAGACACCCTCGTCCTCTACAGCGATCCTCTCGATGCGGAGGCTCTTGTCCTCGGTGAGCCTGGCCCTGGAGATGGGCATCTTGCCGTCGGCCCGCCTCCAGAGCACTTTGGGAGTTGGGTCCCCGCCCGCGGCGCACTCCAACTCCACGCTTGAGTCCACCAGTGCAGTCACGTCCCGAGGTTCCTTGCTCAGGAACGGTTTAACTAAAACATGACATGATGAATTAGCGGAGGAGAAACTAAGAAGTATCTTGTGAGGTTCTAAGGATGAAGAATTACCATGGACGGTGAGCGTGGCCGGGGAGGACTCCCGCTGCCCCACGATGTTCTGGGCCACGCATTGGTACCTGCCCTCGTCGCTCTGCTTCACCTCTCGGATCATCAGGTTCCCGCCGTCCACCACCCGCACTCTGCAACATAGTCGCAACTTTAACAATGTCCCAAGATTTGTTAGATTAAAACCAGATCAGGTTGAATATGAACAGAGGTTTATAATAATGATTATTTTGCAATATATTATAAGTGGCTTTAGGTTTTTGTAAATTAAATTATTATTGCAAAAACCATTACGTCATCCGTAAAACAACAAGCTACACACTTTTATCAAAATATCGTCAGTTTATTGCAAAAAGTCAATGCAATCTTGGAGCAAATAAGTTTTCTGGTATGTAGACCTTATTTATGAATATAAAAACAAAGTAAGTGTGCAAAAATTACACAAAACCGAATGTTAACATATACCGAATGTAGTTACATTAAGGGGACAAAGCTTTTTTTTTTATTGTGGAAAGGTCATCAAAATACATCATGACTAAATTTTATGAAATGTTACTTAATGACTTTTTGTAATAAACCGACAATACTATATTAAAATATCAACATTACTATATTCACACGTGCTTTATTATTATATTTTGATTTATAACAGATTTTGAGTCCGTCAGAAACCTCTGTACTCTGTTGTAAACTACACTCAGAAGTTCCCTAGTTGTGCTTTTATTTTCCCAACCTGACCTTTGGGTAACATTTGGCTAAGATTTTTTTTTTTTTTATAAAACCACAAAAATAATTTTTATTTTTATTTTATTTTTTAATGTACAAATTCCATAATGCAAAAACTTGGTAATTTTGAGTCTTGTACCGTCTGGATATTTTTAGTTCAAATAGTACCAGAGATACTTTCAACCAACAAGAAGGACACTGAAAAAAAAGACGTTTTGCAATTTAAAACGACATTAACATATTTCTAGTTAAGATGCCTCGCTCATATGTAGATTATAAAATAAATTATTCATTGAAGAGCTCAGATATCTTTTTAAAAAACAGCTACTGGATTTGCATTCTACAGAGAGTAATAAAATATATATACAACTAGGAAAAACAGAGCATATAAGATTTTCTTTAGTTTGAGGTTGTGTTCTTCTGTAGAGCAAGACGAAACGCCAATATTTTGTGATGAAAGCAGAAAAATTAATTTTTTTCTTATTAGCTCTGCTCGTTAATAAATTTTTCTTAAAAGGATTGTTTTTCTATAACTTGTTTCTCTGGGTCGAAGAAAAACTTTATAACGAAGTTTTACAGTTATTTGAAAGTTAACTTTTTTTAAACTTGTTTATTGAGGAATTTTACAATCTGTCTCAGAAGAAAGCTAATTATATAAGGAGCGGATATGGTACTTTATCTTGAATGTGGGACCCGTATGTAAAAATGGAAGACTTAACAACCGATTCAAACTACTTTACCCACTTTTCACCAAAATTTCAAAACTAAAAGTGAGACAGAAACTGAAGTCTCTCCAGAAATGACGTAGGCGAAACCCCTATAGAGCATGACAATTTAATGTTAACTGAACAAATTATTTGCGACATTAATGATGAATATATAACGGAGGACTCATCAAGACTTGAAAATGACCCTTAGTGTGGTCGAGACGTCGAATTTAATAGCGTAGCAATAAAATGTTTGGTGATAATTGGCCTAAATTATGTAAAAAATAAAAGAAACTGAATATATTTACATAATTACTTAATCCTATATGAAAATACTCGTCATAGATATACGGTATCACCAGAAATACCTACAAGAACTATAAATCTTCCAATCTCCATCGTTTTTTTTTTTTATTTATTTATTTTTTTCCCCCTTCCTCGCCTTTAAGGCTATACGGTTTTTTTTCAGGGCCAGGGGGTGTATGCGAGGATTTAAAAGACTCTTTCGACACCGGGACGCGAACTCGTGACTATTTTGATTCCATTTTCATATATCAGGTTGCCGGGCAACGGCGGTGCTGTGTACACGCGTTAGCCCATTCGGCCACCGGCCACTCCTGATTTCCATCTATTAAGAGTTGACAAACATTTTTTTTTTACCTATTTAATAAGAGACATGGGTACAGCTGACATAGCCCTGAATATGAGGAAGAGACTAAAAATGCGTTGGATGATCCTTCCTTAAGCAACCAAAGTAACCAAATCAAGCGAGAAAAGAGGTGTTTTAAGAACTGTACTTCTCCATGGCTGACATGTCATTATTTCTTGTATTGTCAGATCATTGTCAAAATAATACAGTTGACAGGTGATGTTAAAAGACGAAAAAAAAAAAAGATTTGATAAGGCACAATGAACTCACTTAACTTACTAATTATGCTTAGTATAAATAATAATATGATATTATAATAATATGAGAACCGATAAGAGGCTTTGCCCTCAAAGGTATTGTGGGACAGTGTTAGCCCAGCGGTGCGGTTGACTATACCCGAAGAGAAGATTGAGGTTCGCTCTCCTACAGTGGGATCAGCTCACAGTTCGTTAGCTACCAGCGCTCCCACCGTAGGCAAATATTAGCTCTTCAATCCCATAGATCGCTGATTCAATCTGATCCTATCTGCCCTCTTTAAACATATAATTGAAAGCTAAGTGTTTAACTAGTTTTGAAGTTGAATTGGTAGTCTTCTAAGACATGAATGCACCCGCACTTAACAAAACTCTCTTTCACCTAAAATAATATTTTTATGTTCTTTAATAGATTATTGGATAAGATACATATTTATTTTTCAATGATACACTAACTAGAATAAAATAGTTTTAATTGTATATTGAATAGATTAACTTAAAATAACGGGAGTGGAAGAGGGAGGGCGGGGTGGCCGTGCAGGCTAATGCGATTGCAAAACACGCTTTGCCTGGCATCTCAATGACTTGAAGATTACGAGTTCGAGTCGAGGTGTCGAGAGCATTTAACTTCTCTATTAATGGCCCCTCTCTGATGGGCCTGGAAAAAAACCCGTAAAGGTGAGATTGGGAGAAATAAAATATTGGAGTAGAAGATGATCTGGATTAAAGCCAAGATATACCGAAATATATTTATGAATGCCAACCTTTACATACTGCAATATGTGTACCCCTATGTTTTGCAACCAGTAACATATATGAAAAGAAAAACCTGTCCACAAAAGCGAAAATAAGACACTACAACACAGTCGTTAAACTGGTAATACTATACGAGACGGAAAACATACGCCTCCCCAGTCTGGAAAAACAACTGAGAATAAAACAAAGAATCCTAAGAAGGATCTGCTGTCCCAAAAAGACACAATGGAATAAAAAAAGAACCAAGAAACAGAAATAAGGATCAGGAGCCTGAAATTCCAAGGAAATACGGTAAGAATGACTTCGGAAAGACTAAACAAGGAAATATTCCAGAAAATCCGAGGATACAAAAGCTCAGGAGGATGCACCTAGCAAATGAAAGAAGAAATGGAAAGACTAGGAATGACGGAGAAAGATATCGGAAAAAACTGAAGAAAATCAAGGTGCTTGTGGGAAAGAAAAATTCAAAAAAGTTAGTCGCATGGACAGAAGAAAGAAAACAAAAACATGCAGAGATAATAAGGGAAAAGTGGAAGGAAATGAAAAACAAAAACAAGAAAAGAAACAAAAGTAATGATATTCGCGTTGTCTCTAAGACCGTGAAACAACAAAAATAGTGAAAGACATATATAAATAATAAAAAATATACAAATTCGACAAAGGAGTAATTAAACTACCTTTTCACAACATATAATCATCTTTTCATCACATTTATTACTTTTACTCCTGTTTATTTTCTGTATTAACATGCTTTCCCTTTTGTTTTTATTTTATTTCATTTTACTACATTTATTTATTCTTTGTCGGTTAATTTTCATTACTGTTACTTTTCCTTTTTATCTTACAATGTATATTACATACTCTCAGAATGTATAATTATAATTAGTATAATTTCATACTTCATTTCTCTCTGCTATTTTCCTACTTAGCAGACTATAGTTACATACTAGAGAATGTAATCAGTAGTGCAAAGAGAATAAATATGTAAAAAAAATATATACGACCTTTTGCACTAACAGTAGCGATATTTTTATGTCATGTATATGTTTGTATAAACATACATTTCGTATACTTCTATACTTTTAAGAATGTCAAAAATATCGGTCAAACCGCCGAAATTCATTTAATTGTTTTATTAATTCTTTTTATTTAGTATTATTATTGTTGTGTTTGTCTTGACTGTCGCCATGACCCTGCTCTCTGTGTGTATTTTTTTAAAAGTATATCCTAGATTAGAAAGAAAATGTAATATTTATAATTCCCAAAGATTATTTAATTGATGAATCGAAGGGTGCTGCAAGTAACCAGTGGGAGATTAAAATAAATGCTAACAAATCCCTTCGAATCGTTTTTATCCTTCGTCGGAAAACCAATGATACCCCCGCCCTATAGTTTTATATATCCATTTATCCCTATCGAACAAATCCGCTACCTATGGCTTCGTCTTTAGAAGTGGCTTACAGAGAATCTTCCAACAAGATTGAAACAACATGGTAGATCTGTTAGGTACCAATTACTTTAATATTTACTTCACAAACACTCCAAACCTCATATTTATTACAAAATCTCAATATTTTACAATTATTAGACCTATGCAGAGTTGAATTTTGATTTGTCATCTAAACCTGCTAGAAATTTATTACTCGTGAGTCGGGCTTCAACATTCTAAAGGTAATGTATACCATTTTTGTATATTTTTCGACTTAGGCTTGCATTATGATTATGGTGAAATAATTCATAGTGATATATTTTTTTGTTATTTGGCATTAAATGTTTCTAGCGTACCTTTTATTATTTTACATTTGATAAGGTCTTAGTGTACTTAGGTGCGCAATAGAAATTACAAAGATATTATTATCTACTACTAAACTGAACATTAAAATAATTATATATGAAGTAATCATTTCCATTTTCACTCTTAGTATTTATCCAGGGATTTCACCTGTCCGAGTTCTCCAGGTCTATGTTGACTCCATCCTTCCTCCAGAGAAGGCTGGGCTCTGGAATACCTTTG